ACTCAATGGGAAAGGAAAGGTTCTTATTTCTCATTTCAGCCGTTGCGTATATTAGCTGCGACATATGAATCAAGATGCTATGACCGAAAAAAATTGATTGAAAGATGACCTTTGATATATGATTTGCCGAATTTAGGTGTACAGGCTGACGTATAACTAACTGGCCTGCATAAAATAACAAGAAAAAACCCCCCACAGATTTTAAGATAGGATTTTTCTTTATATAAATTTTCTAATTTTTGGGACAAGATGGTAAAGAGTACATTTATGTACATGTTTACGTCTGAATGACTTGACATATAAATATGACTTCCCTACGACTTTAAAGACCTTACTCAGATCCCCATTTTGATTTAGTTCTGGACTCTGATTAGACCATCCTATCACATGAATATACCAGGATTTACCACTCGGTTTCACCATGGGTGTAATGTGCTCAGGCAAAGCTTAAAGGTTAGTTCACCTAAAATACTTTTGTATATGTAATGCAATATCTAAACTTATTTTCCTTCCTTAATAAGTTTCCTGTTTACTCATGAAGTCTTCTTTAAAAACAAAAAAATACTTTTTAATGGGTATTTTCTATAATGACTCTCTCGTTTCACAAATAACTACCAAAATCTGGTCCAAAGTCCCTGGTTGCAGGGAAGCTAATGCATTAGAATTTATGCTTTTAATGAGACAAACAGGGAAAATATATAAGATCTGATCATAAAACTGTTTTAATCTGAGCTAACTGATTTGTACATGGCTCTTTCAACAATAGCACCAGTTTAGCAAATCCTTAGCTAACCCAGTTTGTAGAAAACAATGCGCTGAATCTGTACAGACAATTTTTTCAGCATGTTGTTCGTGACAGAAATATATATATGTGGTTTTAGGGGTTTTTTAAGCATTATGGCAGGGTTTGGGAATGTATTCATGCAATGTGTGACTCAAAGCTACAAATGACAGAGAAAGATCAACAGCATTTCTAATAAATTGCTACTTGGCAGCAGTAAGAGGCAATTCACCAGTCAATACCCCCCTCACTTTCTCACCTTCCTATTCTTGATCTTTTTGCCTGTTTTTCTACCCCTGGTTGTTTAGCTTTAATCTGTCCTTTCATCTATTCAAAAACTTCGTGACTGCGACCTTTTCTATTTTGCTGCCGCTTTTGTCCAACACAAAAATAATGATCTAGGCTCCCTCTCTCTTCATGGCTGCTTTTCTACAGTGTGTAAGGAGAAATGCATAAGCAGGTGGTTGCCATGTGAACAATATCCTCTGCGCTCTCCCCTCGCTCTGCGCGTGAGCGTGTGACTGACAGCGAACATGTGTAGTGCAGGACGAATAAAGACTTCAAAAGAAAAAGGCCAAGTGAATGGTAATTACTGGGAACGAGAGAAAATCACCAAAGAAAAGTGTTAAGTATCAGCTGACGGTTAAAGCAAAGCAAACATTTTTTTTCTTCCCTGTTTCCCCAGGCATCATTTTATCAATCACACATTCACCTCTGTCACTTTCAGTTTGCGCCCTGTGCTGCGCTGTCAGTAGCAAATGTGGTAATTATATGTTGAGTACAGTTACGTTATTCTAAAATCTTCCCCCTCTCCTTTGCTAATCTGCTCTGGTCTTTATCTTTGACATCCCTGCATGCCTTTTTCCTGTTTTTTGTTTTTTTAATGCAACATCCTTTTATAAAAAAAAGACCCTGAAAAAGACAGGTAGAAGTACTAATATATATAATATTGAAAATGAACCAAGAAAGAGCCTCAAACCATAAACCTGAATGATAATGCATCCAGACTAAAAGTGTAAGAAAGGTCTAAAGATCAGATCAGACATTTTTAAAACACATTTAAGCTACTGTAGGTTCTTATAAATTTATATAAAACTGCTCTGGAGGAAAAAAAAAGTTACATTTTACTCAGAAGTAGCACTTCTTTGACATTATTCTACCAGCAAAAGTAAAGAAAAGTCATCCAAAATATTATTTTATGAGTAAGAGTAAAAAAGTATTTGGTTAAAAAAAAGCTTCTCCAGTTTTGATAAATTTTTAGATCAACTTATCTGATTTAAATTTTTTAATTATGTTATCAGACAGATGATTTGTCTATTTTTAAAGACTAAAATAAATAAATGACCAATAAGTAACATGATTGCAAAACATTCAGGCAATAGAAAATAAAAAACTCTTCTCCAAATCCCCAGTTTGTCCAAGTAGAATAGGGTAACAACAGATCAGTAACTAGTGATTAGAGCATAATTTAAGTTTCATATATTCCCAAAAAAAGACTGTTTTATAGGATGCAAACTATTGGTTCTTCAACATACCAGGAAGTAGATTTGTAATCTCATAATATTTATTCTATGCTGAGAGACCTAAAAATGTATGTAATTCAGTTGCATTAACTTCCAAGAGTACATTTTACGACTTAAACAGAAACTTTTTTTATAACAGGCATGAACGAAGAGACGCTGATTCTGGAAGTAGAACAAATCTATTTTATAGGATCCTGGACTTCCTTATTTAAAGACACACAACGAAAAAGAAACGGTCTAGGCAGAAGCTGCCTTTGTGCTGGATGGTGAGTTGTAATTATGTTGTATAGAATTAAGCCTTCATTACGTCGTATTCTGCTCCTATGAAATGACAAGTAATATTATTGCACATGCTCTCGTCAAGTTTCAAGGAACTCAGAGCAGAGCAAGACGGGTGGAACCACAGAGGATGTGGGCATTGCTTTGCGGAGGCAGTCTGCCAATCAGATTCACAACGTCAGACCAAGCTGTGCTTAGAGACACAAAAACCCAATGAGCTCAATCCTGGACTCTACCTCACAGTTCTAAGTTAGATTGGACGGTTTTTCACAGTACAACTGCAGAAGAAAGAGAAACAAGTCTTTACCTGTTTGGAAAGGTTTAAGATAAAAATTTCTGTTTTTATTTTTAAAAAGTTATTTACATCATGACAACAAAGGATTTTGTTTTATGTACTAATGTGTAATTCCTTAGCAACATGTTTAGGGATAAAGAACAACTGTGGGGGCGGAGTTCAATCTCTATCTCTTTGCCTCAAAAATGATTAGCCACCGTCGCTAATTTTCAGCAAATTCAATTAGCCACATGCAAAGTTGATTAGCCACAACCCAGATCACAGCGTTGGTTAGAAAATAATCCATTATGGTTTGAACTGACCTGACATGTAATTTAATACAAACTTGCACTAATAATAATACATTCTGCAGAATCAAACCAACTAAAAAAAAATGTTAAAATCGAAATCATGCTCTTTCTTAAGACTATAGTCAACCATATTCAACCACATGCATACATACATATATATATATACACATACTGTATATATATACACACACAAAAAAACAACAACTATTTTCTCACCCCTCGTTGGGTGGTATGTGTCATGTTCAAGCTCGGGTCCTCTACCAGAGGCCTGGGAGTTTGAGGGTTCTGCACAGTATCTTATGTATATATGTATATAT